TGGCGCCCTCCCGAAGTCGGCGCCCTTGCAGTGGCTCCCGTGCAGGTCGACCAACCCCGTCGACCAGCTCGTCCGCTGCTACCGGTCGGCTGCGCCCCTACACCCGACCACGACGTCGGCTCCGCCCAAGCGAGGACGGGGCCAACACACAACTCCCGTTGACAAGCAGCATGGCCACAAGATGAGGCGCAGCTCTAGCGCCTCCAATGCCAGCACCTCCAGCAGCTACAGAACCTCTAGCTCCAGCGCCTCCAGCGCCAGCACCTCCAGCAGCTCCAGAACCTCCAGTGCCAGTACCTCTAGTACCAGTGCCACCAACAGCAGCAACCCCAGAACCGGCAGTACCTCTAGCCCCAGCAGCTCCAGTACCTCCAGTACGAGCACCTCCGGGACTAGTGGCTCCAGTAACTCCAGTAGACAAAGTACCCTCAGGCTCAGCACGCTCAGACTCGGCACCCCCAGAACCGGCACCCCCAGCTCCAGTGGCATCAGCAAAAGCGCCTCCAGTAGCAGAGTCACCAGCTCCAGTGCCTCCAACGCCAGCGCCTCCCGCAGCAGGGCCCCCAGCTCCAGCAGCGCGACCCTGACGGCTAACGTACCACTCACGCAGCTGCTGTGTGGAGAGAGGCACACTCCGACGAGAGTGCTGCGGCGAGGCACCAGCGGAGCGACTACGTAGGCAGCCACTCCAAGGAGACTGCTCACAAGGCGCCTCAGAACCCCCAGGCGCAGCACCCCCAGACTCAGTACCCCCAGGCTCAGCACCTCCAAGCCCCGCACCCTCAAGCTCAGCACCCCCAGGCTCCGCACGCTCAGGCTCAGCACCTCTAGGCTTTGCACCCTCAGGCTCAGCACCCCCAGGCTCCACACCCCCAGGCTCAGATCCCCAGAAGCAGCACCCCGAGCAGGACCACCCCCAGTAGGACCTGAGTCACCTGTGACCTCAACAGGCTCAGTCAAGGGAGGAGGGTCTACCTGAGACACACCTGAGGGAGCAGGACCTGGAGCGGGGAGGGGGTCTACCTGGGGAGGACCTGGAGCGAGAAAGAGCGGCGGGGGGGGGAGAGGGGCAGTGCGGTAGGGAAAGAGACGGTAAAAGGGAACCGACTTGTCAAAGGTGATGTCATGAGAAGCAAAGACACGGCATGAGGTGGGGTCGTAAAACTGCCAGCCAGGCGCGTCAGGAGGAAAGCCAAGGAAGACGCAGGGAATGGCGCGATCTGAGAGCTTGTCCGAAGTGGTATCGCGGACAGAGGCACGAGCACCCTAGATTCGGAATCGCGACGCATCGCCAACCTCCCCCGTCCAACGTAGTGTGGGCGAAGTCTGCAGCACAGAGACACGGGGCCAGAGGTTAAGCTGATGCGCGGCGTACCGGACCGCAAACGGCCACAGAAAATGTGGGGGTAGACGCATGGATCATGGAGGTACGAGCGACCTCCATGACTAAGCCAATGCGGCGCTCATCAACCCCATTCTGCTGCGGAGAGGCCGGAAGCGTGAACGACTGGCGGATGCCGTGCTCCTCACAGAAGGCTCGCAAGAGGTCGGAGGTGAACTCACCACCTCTGTCAGAGTGCAGACGCAGGACAGGAAAGTCTAACTCGAACCGCTCGCGGAGCTGGAGACGAACAGCGTGGATCCAAGGGATAAAAAAAGCAGGGACATCCCCCTTACGCTGCAAGGAGAAGACCGTGGTGTAACGCGTGTAGTCGTCGACAACCAGCAGGAAGTACCGCTTGCGGCTCTGCCCCTGGACGCGCGCTGGGCCCCACACGTCCAGGTGGAGAGTCTGCAGTGGAGCCTCTGTGGGAGGGAACGAGGAGGAGTGAGGAGCAGAGTGCTGCCACCCCTCGACGCAAGGAATGCAGGGCGGCGCAGGCGAGGGAGGGAGGGAGGGCAGAGACCTGGGAAGACCAGAGACTAGGGAGCGAGAGTGCATGCCACGAAGGCGGGGTAGAGAGGGGTGACCAAGGCGGTGGTGCCAAAGGAGAGTCTGGTGCGACAGGCGGCGACACTCACACTGGGTAGCTACCTGAGCGGACGCGTACAGCTGAGGAGACAAAGGGGCGTGACGCGACACAGCGGTGAGGGTGTACAGACTGGACCCAGGCGCACGTGTGAACGTGGCCAGGTGGCGGCCTGTCCGAGAGCACGTGCAGATCGTCACACGCTGTCCTCCAGGAGTAAAGGTGTCAACCCAATGATCCTGAAGGACGGCGGTGCTTACCAGGTTCGTAGAGAACGAGGGGAGGTGGAGACCTGACAGATTTGTCTGAGTCGAGGGAGAAGCCGTGCACGGTGGTATCGCGGCTTTTCGCAGCCGGTTGTCCAGGTTGAACTGGTTGGGAAGTGGTTCCCGCATCGCCTTTGCGCAGATCTTGGAGTTCTTTCTCCATGGTTGACAGTCGAGCGAATAACTGCTCGAGCGCGGCAGTGCCGATCGTGGTTGTCGCCTCATTTGTCGCAGCCGGGTTGGTTTGTCCTTCGGCCGTTAGATTCGTTTGGCCTTTTGATCCTCCGGCCATCTTAGACTTGGAGCGTGTGCTGCTCGCCAGATCTAGGTTTGGCGAAGTTTACGGAAGTGACGTTGCGAAGAATCCCTGAGCAGCTCTCATACCATGTTACAATCTGAAGTGTGACTTAGCGAAAGGATCGTTCAGGGTTGATCGCAGGTAGTGTCGCAGCGGAAGTATTGAACTCAGGTCAGAGTGAATGTAAATGACTGAGATTGATAATAGCATGCATAAATATATAGGGTTTATATAGAAAATACAGAGGAATGCGAAAAGACCTAGACTAGCCATGTACTCTAAGGGGTATATTCCCTTATTGCAGCGAAATTCAAACCGTGCGGCGCGGGAACCAGTTTCAAACCTGTTCCCGCCTTTTTTCACTTCAAATGTTTCTGCCTGCATCGGTCGGTCTTGATCGGACGGTTGCTGTGTCGCTTCGATTCTTCTGACTCCTCGTCTTCGTACTCGGTAGAGTCAGCTCCTGCAGCATACAGGAATGCCTTCTCACAAAAAGCTTCATATCGTAACAGGTTTCAATTTGAATGTACCCCTTAAGAGTTCATGGCTAGACTAGGACCTTTTGTATTCCTCTCACTCATATATATACCACTGTATTGTCAAAGTTATGTTCAATATGTATCCTGCGTGCTGTAGTTACTGTAGTTATTGTTCTTAAATGTTTGGTGGTGCACCACTGTTCTCACCTTCCCTTGAACTATATCATGTATCTTGCTCATTAGTGTAAGCCCTCTTCCTGTTTCTCTCGCTACTCTCTTACCCCAAAACCCTAGTCTACTTAGGCTACTATTCTAACATGGTACAGAGCTATAAACGACCCTGAGGACCAAAGTTTCTTTTCATGATCATGGGCCCGCCTACCCTACCGCGTGACTTGCGCTATTTTCTTCCCCGTTGCTCGTCCGTTGCGCCCCCGCTGCGCCCTGCCCGTACGTCGCGCCCCGTGCGCCCTCCTTCCCGTCGCCCGCGGCCCCCCGTTTCATCGCCCCGCGGCCCCCCGTGACCCCGCGACCCGCCTACGCCAGCGCGGACGCCAGCGCCGCGGCCAGCTGCCAGCGCCTGCGCAACCGCCAGCGCCAGCAGCAGCTACCGCCGCCCCCCCCACGCCCTCCCTTCCGCAGCTTCCGTCGTGGGGGGGGGGGGGGGAGGGGGAGATGTGGGGGTGGCGGGTGTGAGCTGCCTGCAGCCCGTCCCTCCCCTCTCTCTTCCTGCACGGATTGTCGCCGTGGAGAGGAGGGGGAGGGGGGGGAGTGGAGAAGGGTGAGGGGGTGGCGGAAGTAGAAAGGTGCGGAGGGTGTGAGGTTCAAGGGGTTGAGTGACAAGGGGGGTGAGGACTTGGGGGTTATTAATGGGGGGGGATCGCTATGAGCGTGCGCGCTCATGCCCACCTAGCCCACCTCCTCTCCTCATCGGGACTTGGGGGTTATTAATGGGGGGGATCGCTATGAGCCCACCTCCTCTCCCTTTCCTCTCTCACCTCCCCTTCGTAAAAGGAGGTTCGTAAGCGGGTACCCCGGGCATTGAGCGTGCGCGCTCCTACAAGGCCCCCACCTCCTCTCCTCTTCTCTCCTCTCCTCTCGCCACCACGCCCTTCCTCACATCTCTGCCTTCTTCCACAGCGCTTGGTTTACTCTTTCAGGGGTGCTGACTGCACCAGTTTCTACCGCACGCAGGCTAAGGGGGTGTGTCAAAGTTATGTTTAATATATATCCTGCGTGCTGTAGTTACTGTAGTTCTTGTTCTTAGCTGTTTGGTGGTGCACCACTGTTCTCACCTTCCCTTGAACTATATCATGTATCTTGCTCATTAGTGTAAGCCCTCTTCCTGTTTCTCTCGCTACTCTCTTACCCCAAAACCCTAGTCTACTTAGGCTACTATTCTAACATGCCGTAAAGTGCCACCTATAGGACCCGGGGGACTCTCTACAAATGCTCTAAAAAGTGCTAGGGGGACCCTCTGGCGGATGCAAAATTTTAAGACCCGGGGTACACTTATTAATCTATTAACTTTATTGGATTCACCATGTACCAGCTCGTTACAAGGGGGGGGGGGGGGGGGGGGGGGGGGGGGGGGGGGGGGGTCTTATATTTTTCACGCTGGAATCTTTCGCTAGGTGCACACCGCGCGCGTCATCGGGAATGACACGCGGCGAGATTCAGAGCACGGCGGCGGACTGAACGTTGTTTGCCCCGCACCGCACATCATCTTGACAGTGTTCCCCGTCAAGATGGGCACACCAGGTGGCCCCTGACCACCCCATCCTGTCACTGTGGCAGAATGGGCACTGGACGTGAAGCACTAGGGTTTCACGTCCCTCACTCTGCCGAGCACGGTAGCTTTCATCCCCTCCGTTTCCCTGATTCAGATCTTGCCAGGCCCGCTTGCTTCCATCCCATCTGAATAGCCCGCCATGGTGCCTGGCACTTAGAGAACCATAAGTCATTAGAACTGTATCAGCTCCTCGCCATGTCGGCTTTCGAAAGCCCGTGGCGTACACGCCGTGCTACTGTAGGCAGTGGTCAGCCCGCAATCATACTAATGACTAGCCCGGCCCCGCCAGCTCCTCCCGCACCTCCCGCACCTCCCGCACCTCCGGCGCCACCTGCGCCTCCTGTGCTTCCCCCGGGCTTTGTCGACTGGCGCACCACACCTCCGTTGGACCCGCTCGAGGAGGAAGGGTTTCCCGAACCTGTCACCGAGGATGCCGAGAACGAGAACATGGAAGACGACGTCGGGGATTTCCCGATCCCGACGTTCCCGGATGACTTAATCCACGACGAGAACGGGCCTCGCTCCAACGTTGACGGTGCTCCGACACAACACAGCGCCCGCAAGACTACCCACCGACGCACGGCTCGAACCATGGGTGAGAAGCAGGGTTGGCTCGCGCGAATGGAAGAGGAGAAGCTCTCCGTCCGCGCCACTGCACGACTCGCCGGGGTGCAGCCTGTCAGCGTCCGCCGATGGATAAGGGCGGCGGATCGGATTAAGAAGGCAGCACCATCCAGGCGCCGACTGAGTGGTGGAGGGCGAAGGGCGAAATATCCCGACATGGAGGCGCACGCATACAAGCGGCTTCTCAACTTCCGCGGACGGGCTTTAGCCGTGCCTATTCGTCTCATCAAGCACTGGAGCCGGTGCTACATGAAGACGCATTACCCTGATGTGAGGTGGCAGGCGTCCAACAGGTGGACGTTTCGCTTCCGCCAGCGTTTGGGCCTGTCGATCCGCGTAAAGACGAAGATGGGTCAGCGTATGGCCGCGGGTGAGTTAATCTTGTGCGTCCTTCCGTGTGTGTGCATCTACAGTTTGCTCACAATGTTACACTCATGATTAACACACCGCCGACCCTAATGTCCTTCTCCCGCCTTGTGGTCATGCGTGGCAGAATGCAAGCCGAAGTGTGAGAAGTTCTGGAAGTTCACGAGGAGGAATGTCATTAAGCATGGCATCGACACATGGAACATTATTAACGCCGATCAGACGCCCGTGTTCCTGGAGATGCCACACGAGCGTACCCTGCATCACCGCGGAGAGAAGACGGTTCATGTGAGGAGCGCGGGCTACGAGAAAGACAAGGTGACTGTCATGCTCGGGATCACCGCGGACGGGCGCAAGCTCCCCGCCATGGTTATTTTCAAGCGCAAAACGATCCCGAAAATTCGCGTCCCTGCAGGTGCGTTTCGAGTGTTGTAACCATCATGGTAGTCGTTCTGCGGGGCACATTTCTAACCTCGTGCGTTGTTTTCCTTGCAGGAGTCGTTGTCCGTGCGCAGGCAAAAGGCTGGATGGACGCTAAGCTCGTGGATGACTGGGTTAACAACGTTCTCCTGCCCTTCATCAAGCCTCTGCGCGGAATCCGGCGGTCCAAGACGCTTCTCGTTGTGGACTCGTACAGGGGCCACCTCACCGACGGGGTCCTCACTAACATGAAATGGAACAACGTAATCCCGGCCATCATTCCCGGGGGCTGCACCCCCCTGCTGCAGCCCCTTGATGTGAGCGTCAATCGCTTATTCAAGGCACTGCTCCGTCAGCTCTACAACGACTGGTTCGCCGAGTTTGGCGTGAACACGTTCACGAAGGCCGGTGAGTGACGGAGGCCTTCTAAGAACCTCGCCTTGTGTCGTGTTTGTTGCTGCTTGTTTACACTACAATTCCCCGTGTGCGCCATGTGCCTCTTTACCGTTTACATGGCAGGCAACCTGAGAAAACCGCCGGCAGAGATGGTCCTCAAGTGGATTGAGAGTGCTTGGGCGGCCGTCCCCGAGCACATTATTGAGAAGGCATTTCTCACGACAGGCATCAGCAACGCGGTCGATGGGTCGCAAGATCACCTCGTCCTGGCCCACATGCGCGATGCGGGCGAGGTCGAGGTGGCACAAGATGTGCACGTCGCCCCTGAGGTGGAGGAGTGGGTGAACCCGCTGTTCGCCACTGCCGCGGAGGATGAGGAGGCGGCAAAGGCAGCGGATGCTGAGGATGCCGGGGACCTGCAGGAGGAGGACGAGGAGGAGGACGACGAGGAGGAGGACGAGGAGGAGGAGGAGGAGGAGGAGGAGGAGGAGGAGGAGGAGGAGGAGGAGGAGGAGGAGGAGGAGGAGGAGGAGGAGGAGCAGGAGGAGGAGGAGGAGGAGGAGGAGGACGAGGTGGATGACGAAGATGAGGTATTGGTTCCGCCGAAGTAGAGTGCTTGTTGGAATCCATCATGACCATTCTGTAGTTGTAGTGACCTCTAGAATTTGAGATGTGTGTGTAGTAGGTTATTACAGTAACAATGATAACATCACCAAACTCAGCAGGGGAAGGGGGGGGGGTCCTATATTGATCGCCCACAAAGGGGGGGTCCTCACCCTGCCCAAATAAGAGTCCCTCTCAGGCCCTCAGATTCGTTTTAGGCCTGTCTGATTCATCAGACTAGTACACAATTTTAGTCTGAAAATCTCAGACTTGGTATAAAAAAAAGGCTGAAATGTCAGAGTGTCATAAAACAAAAGTCTGATCATTCAAAATCAATCTGTTCAATGTTTCATCGGAAGTCTATTCAATGTTTCACCCATCTGCTACTGGAACATGCTACACTAAGGGGATTTTCGATAAAACATGCTCTGACAGGGCGAATATATGTGTCAGGGCGAATCTTGTGGTGCGAAAAAGGAGAATGTGCAATGTCAGGGCGATGTTGCTGTGATTGGGCGAAAATTGTGGTGCTCTGACAACTCAAAACTGTTGTGTCAGGGCGATTTTGCTATGATTGGGCGAAAATCTTGTGATGTAAAGGCTCAGATTTGCTATGTCAAGGAGATTTCGCTTTGGCAGTGCGAATCTGCTGTGACCCGTAAGTCCGAATCACCAGTCAAGGACGCGTTTGTACTCTGAATGATCAGAGTACACTCTCAGAAAACTCTGAACTCTCAGAGTTAGCCTTAAAAAAAGTCTGAAAATTACAGAGTTGAGGCCCAAAAAAGTCTGATTTTATCAGAGTACACAGGAAAAAAAATCTGAAATATCAGAGAAAAAAGCCCAAATCAGAGAAAAAAGTCTGACTTCTGAGGGCCTGGTCCCTCTGGTCCTTCAAGAGTCCCGGGGACCCTCTTACCGGCGGGTCCTATAGGTGGCACTTTACGGTGTATTTGCATAATTTTAATGCGGTTATATTTTACTTCCGCGTTATTGCATTACTGCGCACTATTTATTGTACAACTCATACGGTACCGTAACATTGATGGTAAAATATAACCACTACAAGCCACAATGATTACCAGGGTTCTAAAAAAGCTACACCGATGATTATCAAAGTTCAAAAATCCATACGCCCTAATTCCAACACGGGGTCAATTGCCGAATGTGCATGAATTTCGCAGTCGGCTGCTAGAAATACACTTCCCATAAAAGGGTTCGTACAAGCACACTTCGAAAAATTCAGGGCAATCCTGGAAAAGCGGCCCACACAGCAAGGGCAATCCGGAAACTTACATTTTTGGGTGGGGAACTGTGTACAATCAGTAAGGTTCCTGAAGCTGGGCAAATCCAGCCTACGGTGAGTTCTCCTTAGCCAGGGCCATGAGAGGTTGGTGGTATCCTGTATGCTGGTGCTCGCGGTACAGTTGCGCCAAGCTGCTAGCTCCAAAGACATCCAGCAACGTCCACCCGGAAAGAAGCAGTGGCATGCGGATAGGCCCGTAAACGCGGTGAGAGTTGTACACCAGAGTGTCGTTGCCCACTGGCAGGCCAAGGAAGAGCATCCCTGCTGGCTTGAGCAAGCCCTTGATCTGGTGGGAAGAACATGCATGCCAGACAGCTCACACTGATGATGCAAGCTAACCAACAAGTACAATCAATCATGTACACGCCTCACAGTGGTGTCAAGGCAAGCAGTTATGGAAGTGACAGAAGTCCATGAGCCCTGTTGGTTACATGCCCCCCTCAGTTCGGAACAGTCGTCCAGTCAAAGACAGTATGCTTTTCAGAGGACATCACAAAAAGAAAGGAAACCATCAGGGGAGCAGGCCTGATTTGTAATCTCCATGACGTGTTGTGCATGCCTGTTTCTGCATATCAGAATATTTATGGTTGGTAGTTGTGGTTCGTTGTGGTGTCCCAAAGAGTATTCATTGTTGCGGATGTGTTGCACACAGCTGAGCACAGCAGGCACACACCAACAATGGAGGCACTACCCCGAGTATCCGTGGATTTGAAAGATGTGCCAGGCCAACTTCCCCCACCTACAAACATCAGCCAATACAATGCCCCTGCAGGCCTGCACTTAATTGCTACATACCTATTCCACCTCACAACGCACAGTGCAAGCAACGAGTCTGCCCACTCAGGTTCACCTTGTGCATGCGCGCCTCTCACCTTGTGCATGCGCGCCTCTCACCTTGTGCATGCGCTGCAGGTCGCCGAAGGGGTTGATGGGGTCGCCATAGCGGCCCAGCCCGTCGTGCTCCAGCGACGAGAACGACACCGCCACGTCAAACACCTCGTCCGTGCCCTCCAGCTCATCCACTGCCATCACCCGCAGCTTCGGATGTGATGACACGGGCTTGTTGAAATCAACGGTTGTGATCGTGCCGGCATTGAACGTGAGGCAGATCGATTCCACCCACGGCCGCTGGCTACCGATGACGAGCACGGACTTGCCGCTGACGGGGTAGCGCTCGAACGCGTCCAGGAAAGCGGCCGTGGCGTTGGGCCCGTAAGACCCAAAGCTGGCGTTGCGGGCTCGAGCGAGGTTCACGTTGCGCGCGATCTCCTCGTTGCGCCACGCCTTGAGCTGCTTCCCCGAGTCCATTGCTTCCTTGCCAAAGAATTTCGGCCGCACCTGGGGGGCGCACGGCATGGCAACACACCGGTTACCACTTGCAACATGCTCGCCAGTGACGAAGCGCTTCCATTCCGTGTCTCCCTTCCTCCCTCTCTCCCTCCCTCACTCAAGGCCCTTGCATTGATACTCCACATATTTACAGACATGCAGGCGAGTACATTTAACATCCTGAACAGCACCATCATCAATCATTACCCCCATTCCTTCCCTGCCTTCCTCTCCCCCATTCCATCCCCCCCCCCCCCCCCCCCCCCCCCCCCCCCCCCCTCCGTTTCCTCACCACCCCCTCTTCTTTCCCCTCCCTCTCCCTCCCACCACCCATGCCCGCCCGCCCTCGCCCCATCGCCTACAGCCCGCGTGCGCGCACCTGGATCCGGCCGCCCAGAGTAAACTCGTCGCGGAGAGCGCCTTGCACCCACATCCACGGCACGGGGCCGGGGAACCCGTGGCTGCGGATGTGGAAGCGCGCGGGGCGCGATGAGTCGTCGTCCGCCGCGAGCCATGATGCCGCATCCAGCGCGCTGCGCTGCCATGGCGCGCGCGCGTCGGGTGGTAGAAGGAGCTCGGCGCCGCGCGTGACGTCTCTCAACAGCAACGCGCGCCCCCCGGCTGGCAGGAATCCGGAGAGGGGATGGCACGTGTGGAAGAGGTGAGGGCCTTGTGGGGTAGGCACGGGCGTGTGGCAACGCATGCATGCCTCGACACAAGCACGCCACCACTGCCCAAAAATCGGAATGGCTTCAAAACTCACCCTAGCTCACACCCTCAAACCGCGTGGTGTGATGCATAGTACTATGCAACTGCCCCTCAGACAACGAACGGACGTATCACCACGAGAACCGCACCATATCATATGATGTAACATAACAAACAGAACCGTCACGGTGATGAAGATCCGAAACACACGGCGGAGGAGGATAGCCCATTATGCACTGCCAGACCTAGAATTGTTGCCCCCCCCGTACTATGTACTTATAGGTCCTGCTATATTCATTCTACTACTTTATAGCTCTGTATCTACAACATATATTCATTCTATATTGAATATAGCAGAACCTATAAGTACATACGGGGGGGAAACAAATTTGTGTTGTGCTCGCACGGCTCTAGCTTACACGAATCAAACGAGGGGAAGCGCGGGGCGAGCGAGGCGGCGAGCAAGGCGGCAAGGAGAAGGACGACAGCTGCAGCAGCTTTCAACCACGGGCTCGCGGGCTTGACGCTCGCGGGCTTTCGCGCAATCGAGTCTGCTCTTGGGGAAGCCATTTGAAAGCAAAACCACAGGGGTGGAAGACTAGGGCGGGTATACTGCGTCGCTATCCAGTAGGTCAACGATGGTGGCGCAGCGGAACGTTCTGGTGCGCAATGGCCAGAGGCGGTACACAGTAGTTAACCTAAGAGCCCGCATGTGTTGCAGCGGGACATTCGTTCGTTTACGAAAGGTCCATTCTGGTGCACAATGGTCCAAGGCGGTAGAAGAGAGTATGTTTCAAGTTGAACCGTACTAAACCGCTTTGAACGAGCCCTGAATGGGAATGCGTGATCTGCGCTTGGGGTGTGAGGATGATCATCAACAGGTGGCCGGCCGGACCTGCCAAGCAGGTGAAGAAGACCAATTTACGGACCCAAAGCAAAAGTGGTTCGTTGCGTGTATGCGCGCCCTAGGGGACCTTTTGCAGCCAATCAACGAGAAGGGGGAGCCCTGGGGCGGTTTCCAGCGACCTGGTAGCGTAAGTACGTACCTTGCAATTCTGATCAATGCTGCCGCTCCCTCCAAGGAGCAGCCAAATGACCGAGGCAATCGCCAGTGCTCCCGCCTCATTGGGATCGTGAAGTACAGTCGATGCTCAGCCTATCACAAAAATTTGCTCATCACAATTAGAAAATCAGTCACTCGCGAACGTTTTGCCTGTGAGTGGTGATTGTGCTGATTTCGGGGTACAGTCACCAAGTCGAGGAAGAAAAACATCTACAGTTCATAAACAACAACGGCTGCCTGTCATCAGAATTGTTTACCTGGTTACAAACATAAACCCCTAGACTCGTTTCACTTTCCGATTTCATTTTACAATCACATTTTTGCCCGTGGCGACAAGGGCGAATGTGGCGAAATGCTCAAAACTCGTTTCACTCACATGCCGCCCGCCTACCTGGTGTTCTTGAAATGAGCACCGACTGTACAGCCAACCACTGTACAGTACAGTAATTGGCGACCGACTTTACTGTATTTGGTCAAGTGCGACAACCAGCTTGTTCGGAAGTCGCTTGTTCTGGCGAGGTTCGTAAATCTGAAATAGCACTTGTTCAGAGCTGAACCAGGCCTCTCAATGCAGGGGCATTCTCCCTTTTTACCCTGAATTCAAGGGATGGCTTTGTCGCCCACCTGTTTTCCTACCTTACCAAATAGCGCCCACCACGGAATTCATTATACGTTCAAAGCCCTCACCCAAACCCCACACCCTCGTTTCTCTTATTTTTCTCCCTGCTTACGTGGTACCTCCAACACCGTCTCTCACCCCATCCCATTTATGTGCAATTGAACATCACAATGTGCAGCCCTAAATCGAAGTGTTGAAATCTGACTCAATCCAAGTGGAAAGGGCTGAATTCAGGTCACTCGGCCTGCTAAGTTCCAGGCCAGGTGAAATCGACAGCTCTGAGCTGAACTGTCAGGCAGAAATCTGACAGTTCAACACTGTCAACATCTTTTCGCAATTTGTCGACGTGACAGGCATTCAGACACCCTCGTATTCAAACCTGTGGATTCTACACCCAAATGCTCACCGAAGCAGTTGCAAAAACAATTGACGGTCAGGTCAGGTCACACTCGGACAACCAGGTCAAAATATGCGTTTCCAGTGACCCGTTTGCTTGCGGGACACCCTCTTCAATATATATCCATAAGGCTTTCTTCTTACCCATCCATGGTGGACCTATCCATGCTACATTTGACTCTCAAACGTTGCACAATATAGTAGCCTATACGAATATTCTCGTTATAATAATGCCATAATATCATTATTGAAAATAAATGGCCAAAACTAGGGGCCACCATATAATAGATTAAGGCGCAAGATAGAAACCTGCTGTTGAAGGTAGTCGCCGTTACGGTATGAAAAAGTTGCACAAACATTCTTACACTAACAAATTCCTGAAGCAGATAAGCTTCAAACGAGGACGAATGCCGAACGATAAAAGCAGACATCAAAGACAATTACAACAATAGATTTTTAAAATGCAATGCACAATAAACTCGTTCAAACGCCTATCAAACAGCACGACTATATTAGCTCAAGGGGATCATACCCCCTTGAAGAATACCGTAATCACCCGGACATACCACCCGCCGAAATTGAAGACCCCCCGGGTGGCTTGTGCGGGGTGGGTGCTATAGCGGACCTCGTTTCTACTATACCCCCCTTTTGGGGTGATTTTCTATAACACCCCCATTTCTTACAAAGTTTCTAATTATAGCTGTTAGCGAGTACTGCAGAACATCGCGGAAATAACTTCATCGATGAAACTACATGGTAATTTCGAAAGAATATGCTTAAATCACCCCCCTCCCTCATTTACGATGCTGCCACGCTGGTAGATAGTTCGCTAACAAGTGGCAAAAAAGGTGCCTCCTGGCAATTTCAAGGGGGGCAAAAAGGTTCTCGAAGAAACCCACATTCTCGCTTCTAGCTGTGATGTTGAGCCAATTCTGAAAACACCCAAGTTGTCTTTGCATCAAAATCCTTACACGAAAAAATGTCATATAAAAAGACACAGGTGTTATGTAGCGTTTTCCGATGAGTACACCCCCCCTCCCTTTTTTTGTTCTAGTTGTTATAACACCCTAGAGTGGTATGTCTGGGTGATTACGGTAAGCTTGGCCGGGACCTTACGCATCCATTTGTAAACCTCCAAAAACCTATAAATTACATTATTACAGTTACTCCGATCGAGATTCAATCCCTCTCTATACACGAAGTCCGTGCCCATCCTGAAGTGGCCCAGTGAGTTGGCTGAGTCACTTCCGATAAGTGAGGTCCCAGGATCAATCCCCCATGCCGACGTGTTCTGTCAGCCTCCCAGAAGGGGGTTCGCACAGCTCACTCTGGGAGTGGATATACCTCAACCTCGTTGACCAGCGAGTCTAAACAATTGGAAAGGCGGGTTACGACTAACAGCCAGGTGTGGGTAACACCCAGAGGGGTTCCTCCCCCTCTACCTCTTTACGAAGTCCGTGCCCAATCACAAGCATCTTACGCTGCTACACTCTGTGTGACATTTGACGGTCCTATAAATGTCATTTCAGATTGCAACAGTCAATGCTACTCAGCGATTAATGAGGCATACCGTGCGGAGATAACTACTACAACGGGAGCTAGACTACGGGCTAGGCACGGGGCTCGTGTGATCTCAGCGTTCACTCGTGCTTACACTACTTCCTAGTTCACAGGGAAAGTTGGCAAGAGTTTCACTAGCAAAAGTTCACAACAATGGTACAATGAAGTTGGCAAGACTAGACTATATCAGAGCTAGCATGCAAGCAAGTCTACTGCCAGCACAGCACGGTCGACCACTTGCCAGCACGACTTGGTCGACCGCGCTCCAGCAGTGCAGAGTCGCGGCTTGCCAATGCTGCAAGTCGACGGCGTGCCAACGTCGCAGGTTGACGGCGCGCCAACGTTGCTTCCGCAGAACAGTAGCGCACCCGCTTCGCAGGTGCTCGCAGATGATTGGCGTGCAGTGCCTCGTCACCTGCACAGCGCACACACCAAGTCAACTTCGTGCTGACGACTGCTTCTGATCAGCCACGTCGACCTCGGGATACCACCACCGAGTCGTCCACGCCAACATCGCCTGGGCGACCATCGCGTGTCTTCGCAGAACCTCGTCACCCAAGTAACTTGGTCGACCGGGCAACCACGTCGACCAGCTGCTCCTGTACGTTTCCGTCGACCACCCAGGTCGACTGCCACTCCCAGTCGACCTCACCAGGTCGACCACACCCTCGGTCGACCAGCTCCAGGTCGACGTCACTCCTGGTTGGCCAGCTCCTCGTCGACCAGCACTATTGTCAGCCGACCCCAAAGTCGGCTACCCGAAGCCGGCGCCACCAAGTTGACGCCCTGCCACTTGACGCCCAGATGCTCGGCATCCTAAATCCCTCTGTCGAGGTCGACGTTGGCCCCTCCTTCGTCGACCACCATGTTCGGTCGACCACCAGGTCGACATCACGCCTGGTCGACCAACCACCAAGTCGACCAGCAGGCCTGGTCGACCAACCACCAGGTCGACCAGCAACCCTGTCAGCCGATCACCCATGTCGGCTGCCCCGAGTTGGCGTCATCGAGTCGACGCCCTCCGCAGGTCGACTTCCCAGGTCGACCTCCCTGAAGTCGGCGCCATCCTGAAGTCGGCGCCCATGCAGTGGCACTCGTGCAGGTCGACTTCCTCGTCGACCAGCTCGCCCACTGCTGTAGGTCGGCTGCACCCCTACACCCGACCACGAAGTCGGCTCCGCCCAAGTGAGGACGGGGCCAACACACAACTCCCGTTGTCATACCGTAATAATCCGGACATAAAATGTCAAGATAGCAAGCAGGAATGATTGCATTGAATGAATCGTGGGTAGAAGTACTAACCCTAACATTGGGTTGTACCCTATTTGGGCTACCCTACTATAGCCTACACACAACTAGCACAGAGATAGTTTGACATACCCCCATAGGCAAAGTGGGGGAGAACAAGGGTCACACGACCAGTCAAGAAAAGCAAAGCAAGCTCAGGGTGGATCACAACATCACCACACACACTGAGCACAAGCAAAGGGCCACAAGGCCAGTTCACATGCACAGGTATATATGCAACAACAAGAGTATAGTGATCACTACCTAGCAAGAACAAGCATGCAGGTATATATATAAATCACAGTACAAGCAAAGTCACGAAGTGAGCAAGTGAGACGAAACAGGCACAAGGCCTAGCATAGTACAGAAGCGCTGATGATCACCAGACGGAAGTGCCTTGGTGCCTTGGTGCCTTTCCCCGAGTGGCCACGTGAGCAAGACGAAGCTGACCACGCTGCTGCAACTCTCAAGCCAGGAAGTAACGCAGAGCGATGTGCTTTGTTCTGTGCTCCAGTCTGTGCTCCAATATTGTTCTCCAGTCTGTACTCCTGACACAAGGCAATGGCGGCCTTGTTGTCGACATACAGCACTGGAGGAGAATGGGGCCTCTCTCCCAAGTCGGTCAGCAGGTAGGTGAGTCAGCGTAACTCCTGTGCAGCCATGGCTGTGGCGTAGATCTCAGCCTCACAACTAGAGCTGAGAACAGAAGACAAGCGGGTAGACCGCCAAGAAATAGAGCCGGAGCCAAGGCTAAATGTGTAACCCTGTGACGACCGCTGCGTAGCCAGGTCGTCAACCCAAGACGCGTCTGAGTGTCCAGTGAGGACAATGTCACCCCGTCCTCCAAGCACGAGCCCCATGCCCGATGTACTGCACAAGTAGCGCAACACCCTCTTAGCAGCCTCCCAATGCTTGCTGTAGCCGGTGTCTCCCAGGCGCAACGTAGCGAGACAGGATTCTAAGAGGGTAGGCAAGGTCAGGTCGAGTGCAGGTCATCAGGTACATGAGGCAGCCCACAAGCTCTGGATATGGGCCACTCGGCTCTACGGACTCATCCGAAGGCAGAGCTGAGAGCGAGTGATCGGTAGCTAGAGGAGTGGACTGTGGCGAGGACCAAGTGAAGCCGAAGTGCTGAAGGACCTGCTGCACCATGTGTGACTGAGTCAGGGTGATGGTGTGCCGTGCTCTGTCCCGGGTGATCCACAAGCCAAGGTAGCTGCGCAGCTCACCCAGGTCTGTGCACGTGTGTCTCTTCTGCAGCTCCAACTTCACAAGGGCGAGTGCCTCAGTGTCAGCAGTAGCAAAGACCAAGTCGTCGACGTACACGAGGATGTAGAACGGCAGCAGCGAAGTGTCGGTGCGCAGAAACAGCGACGGGTCAACAGTCGAAGGAGCAAACCCAAGAGCCGCAAGTGTCGTCCTTAGTGTGTCGTGCCACTCACGAGGCGCTTGGCGGAGACCGTAGACTGGCCGCCAGAGGCTCCACTGGGTACCTGCAGGAAACGACCCAGTGAAGCCAGGTGGGCGGCGCAGCCAGATCTCCTCGTGCAGGCTGCCCTATAAGAAAGCTGTGCTGAAGTCAAGAGAGTAAAGCTCGTAGTCACGCTGAGCGGCAACGTGCAGCAGCACCCGAAGAGTGGTCATCTTCGGGGTGGGAGAGAAGGTCTGGAAGAAGTCAACTCCCTCACGCTGACTGAAGCCTCTAGCAACGTAACGAGCCTTGAAGACAGGCGGAGAACCCGGCGGCCGCTTCACCCTGAAAATCCACATGCCATCGACGATGTTCGCCCCAGGAGGGGGAACCTCATCGACGTAAGTGCCTATGGACTTCCAGGATGCCATCTCTGCGTCCATGGCTGTCTGCCATTGAGAGGAGTAGGGACCCGCAATCGCCTCAGCGTAAGAGCGCGGGGTTGGGATGTCTGGTGCATCCGGGTCTCCCTCAGGGGCAAGCAGCATGGCCACGAGATGAGGCGCAGTGGCTGCAAGACACTCAAAGTCCTCCTGCCTGTCCTCAAGGACGTCCGTGCTAAGAGCACACTCACCCCCGACAGACGGAGGACAGACAGACTCAGACTCAGCAACAAGACTAGCGGCGTAGTCGAGACGACAGGCAGCAGCAAAGTCAACAAGCTCAGAGACTAAGGCAGACGCAGCAGCAGACTCAAATGACGGGTCAGTGATAACGGTGGCTAGGAGACGCGTGATAGTAGGGTGAGCAGCACGAACTAGGTCAGACTCAGGGTCCGGAACGTCAGGCAGAGAAGACGCAGGAGGAGACGGCAGGGGAACACGCTGTGGAACAGAGGAAGGACGAAGTGCCATAGCGTGCGTACAAGGAACAGGAGGCGGACGCTCACGAGGAACACGACGACCAGTGCGACGCGCGCGAAAAAGCGAGGCAGGACAAGACGCAAGCTCACGACGCTCTGTAAGCGAGTCTGTCTGCTCAGTGTAAGGAGAAGGAGCAGGTAGTGGTGATCCTGGCTGTAACGGGAGGCCAGTAGAAGATGGGAGGCTAAGAACCTGGCGAAGCACGGAGTCAGGCGGTGGCAGAGACGACGGTGACGGCGGAGCGAAAAACGGTCGCAGCTATGCAGTGCCACCAGCACCAGTAGCTCCAGCGCCTCCAGCAGCTCCAGAACCTCCAGCTCCAGCGCCTCCAGCAGCTTCGAAACCTCCAGCTCCAGCGCCTCCAGCAGCTCCAGAACCTCCAGCTCTAGCGCCTCCAGCTCCAGCACCTCTAGCTCCAGCGCCACCAGCAGCAGCACCCCCAGAACCGACACCTCCAGCCCCAGGGTCCCCAACTCCAGGGTCGACAGCACCAGCTCCAGGGCCTCCAGCTCCAGTGCCTCCAGCAGCAGCACCCCCAAAACCGGCACCTCCAGCTCCAGGGTCTCCAATTCTAGGGTCGACATCACCAGCTCCAGGGCCTCCAGCCCCAGTACCTCCAGCAGCAGCACCCCCAGAACCGGCACCTCCAGCTCCAGGGTCTCCAACTCTAGGGTCAACAGCACCAGCTCTCGGGCGTCCAGCCCCAGTACCTCCAGCAGTAATACCCTCCAGAACCAGCACCTCCAGCTCCAGGGTCTCCAACTCCAGAGTCGACAGCACCAGCTTGAGGGCCTCCAGCCCAAGTACCTCTAGCAGCAGCACCCCCAGAACCAGCATCTCCAGCTCTAGCAGCGCGCCTCCGAAGGCGGGTGCGCGAAGCAAGCCACTCGCGCAGCTGCTGCGGCGAGAGAGGTGACCGCTGCGACGCGGCACCAGGAGAACCTCTAGCAGACTCAGCACCACTAGGCTCAGCACCAACAGACTCAGTACCCCCTGGGCCAGCGCCTCGAGGGCTAGCACCTCCAGCTCCAAGGTCTTGAACTCCAACGCTCAAGTCTCCAGCTCTAGTGCCTCCAGCACCACGGACCTTGGCAGCTCGAGTACCTCCGGTACGAGCACCTCCAGGACCCAAAACACCAGCACCCCCAGCGACTCCACGACGAGCAGCTTCAGCAGCTCCAACCGCAACACCTCGAGCAGCAGTACCTCCAGCAGCAGGACCTCCACAACTCCTCAGGCGGGAACGCCACGCAAGCCACTCTCGTAGCTGCTGTGGTGAGAGAGGCCCCCGACCCGACGGAACGCCAGCAGACTCAGCACCCCCCGACCCGGCACCCTCCAGCTCAGCACCCTCAGGCTCCGCACTCGTAGGCTCAGCACACCAGGCTCTACAACCCCCAGCACCTCACGCACAGGCTCAGCACCCCCAGACGCAGCACCCCTAGCAGCACCACCCTGAGCAGTACCAGAGTCGACAGGAACCGGCGGCAGAGGCGGTGAAGACGGTCGAGGTGGAAAACCCGGAGGGGTCTCCAAGCGTGCTGTGCCGCGTCGTCAGCAGCAACGTCACCCCCCTCAGCTGGGCCAGAGGTGTCGGAAGTGACCTCCAAAGGCTCAGCCAAGGGGAGTGGGTCTACCTGAGACACACCTGAAGGAGCAGGACCCTAAGGGGAGAGGGGGTCTACCGGAGGGGGACCTGGAGCGAGAAAAAGTGGCGGGGAAGGGAGAGGGGCAATGCGGTAGGGGAAGAGATGGTAGAAAGGAACCGACTCATCAAAGGTGACGTCCTGAGAGGGGAAGACACGGCGCGAGGTGGGGTGGTAAAACTGCCAGCCAAGGAAGACACAGGGAATGGTGCGGGAGGAGAGCTTGTCCGCGGACGTATCGCGGACAAGGGCACAAGCACCCTTGACCCGGAACACCGACGCATCGCCAACCTCTCCCGTCCAACGCAGTGTGGGCGAGGTGTCCGGCAAGGAGACACGGGGCCAGAGGTTGAGCTGCTGCGCGGCGTACCGAACCGCAAACGGCCACAGAAAATGGGGAGCCACCGCATGGATCAAGGAGGCACGAGCGATCTCCATGACCAAGCCAATGCGGCGCTCAGCAACCCCATTTTGCTGCGGTGAGCCCGGAAGCGTGAACGATTGGAGGATGCCCTCCCCCTGACAGAAGGAGAACTCACCACCTTTGTCAGAGTGCAGACGCAGGACAGGAAGGTCCGTCCGGAACCTCCGGCGGAGCTGGAGACGAACTGCTCGGATCCAAGGGATCAGGACAGCAGGGACCTCACCCTTGGTGCGCAAGGGGAAGACCGTGGTGTAACGCGAGTAGTCGTCGACAACCAGCAGAAAGTACTTCTCGCCGCCCTGTCCACGAACGCGGGCTGGGCCCCACACGTCCATGTGGAGGGTCTGCAGGGGAGCCTCTGTCGGGGGAAACGAGGAGGAGTGAGGAGCGGCACGCTGCCGCCCCTCGACGCAAGGAAGGCAGGGCGGCGCAGGCGAGGCAGGAAGGGGAGGCAGAGACCTGGGAAGACCAGACACTAGGAGGCGACGGTGCATGCCACGGAGTGGTGACCCAGGCGGTGGTGCCAGAGAAGAGTCTGGTGTGACAGGGAGCGACACGAACAAGGGGTGGCTACCAGATCTGATGCAGACACCTGACCGACAGCAGCTACCTGAGGAGACACAGTCGTCATTATGTGAAGACTCGACCCTGGCCGACGGGTGAACGTGGCCAGGTGATGGCCAGTCCTGGAGCACATACAGATCGCCACACGCTGTCCTCCAGGGGTAAAGGTGTCAACCCAATGATCCTGGAGGACTGCATTGCTCACCAAGTTCGTCGAGAACGAGGGGAGGTGAAGACCACACAGTGAGCCAGACGGAACCGCCGGGCACGGAAGCACAGTGGTGGACCGTGCAAGAACTGGGCCCCCTGAGGGGTCAGCCAGAGAGACTGCAACAGGTGCAGGGAGTGGTGTGAGTGCAGTACTGTCACGGAAGAAACAGCGGGAAGCACCTGAGTCATCATGAAGGTGTGCAAGGCCTGAACAGGCGCAGTACCTGAGGGAGCAGACTAGCTAGCACCTAAGGCAACAGCCTCATTACTACCTAGAGCAGCAACCTCTGTACCGGGGTCGTACTGCATACACAGGTAACAGTCACCCTCAGCACCACTAGGCAAAGCATACATGGCAGTAAGGATGGCGTCATAGTCTAAAGCAAAGACATCAACGCCCGACCTAAGCAGCTCAAGCCAGTGGGGGATCTTAGCATCGTCGCCAAACTGTGCGTGCCAGGCGTTCCACAGGTCTGACCAGCTCGACGACCTGTGCGAATGACGTACGGGCAGCGACCAGTACTCGGAGACGACCCCCGCTGGTAAAGCCACTCAAGAAGCTGCCGGGGCGTAAGGGTCGGACGCTGCCGTAGCTGCATCTGGCCACCGCCAGAAACTCCGCACCAAACAGCGCCACAGTGACTGCTACTACGGCCGCCACCACTCCCACTGCTGCCACCACCGCCGTCACCACTCCCACCGCTACTACGAAGTGAAGTCATGGAGGGCAAGCTAGGAGGAGCGTGACCTCTAGGGCAGTACGGAGTGAAGGCAGTAGCATTAGTAGCAGCAACAGTAGTAAGAGTAACAGAGCGGCTCGTGAGGCTAGGCTGCAGCACCTCCAGTCCTAGCAGCACCTCCACCAGCAGCAGCAGTAGCACGAGCAGAAGGGCGGATCAGGTTGGGCAGGGCGGCTCGGGCTGGGCGGCACGGCTCAGTCTGGGCGGCGCGGGTAGTAGGGCGCGCGCTGTGCAGGGTAGCACTGCGCGACGTGCTGGCTGAAGAAGGGCGCGACGCGCGAGGCAGTGGGGCACGACGCATGGGCTGCAGCAGAGCGCGACGCGTGGGGCAGCAGAGCGCGTCGCGCGGGCTGCCGTAGGGCGCGACGCGCGGGCTGCAGCAGGGCGCGACGCGCGGGGCAGCAGAGCGTGACGTGACGGGCTGCCTTGGGGCGCAGGGCAGGGCGTGCGCGGGGCAGCGCGACGCGGGGCAGGGCAGGGCGTGCGCGGGGCGCCAAGCGCTGTTGGTGCAACCCCACGGTTTGCACTCGGCTTGTTGTCCGTGTGCGTGCATGCATGTGTGCATGGAATGGTATGAGGGCATGATATAATAAATGTATCATGCTTATAATAGTGTGTGTATGATGGGTCATAATGTCGAGTGTGTGTGTCGAGTCAATAGCGAGTCATCGCTAGCCGCGTGTCAATGCGGTCATTTGTGTCTCGCGCGCGGTTTCTATTTTGTCGCTTGTCGAACGTTCAGCGTGTCGCAGGTGTGTGCAGCAGACCCATCAAGAACTCAAGGATGGGTATGTGATGAAGAACCCGAGCCTTGGTTCAAGCTTCAAGTGATTTCGAAGCTCGCCAAAGGGGTACACCTCAAGATATTGAAGATAGTTACATTACAAAGTGTAGTGTAACATTCCAGTTGGTGTAGGCCCTTGTGAAGGGTAGTTTCGAGACCCTTCTTGGTTGGGGATAGTGTGGCACTGTTCCCCATCACTGTACCTCGGCTCTTGGGGTTTGTAGGAGCTGGGAGTCCTTCCCAACTCGTAACTCTTCCTAGCTCTTCCTAATTGTGTTCTAAGACTATGTTGCTGTCATAGTGCCGTTCGTTCAATCTGACGCTGTGTCGTCAATTCTTGATGAAATCGTGCGATCTAAATTGCCTATTGTAGGCGACGTTAAGACGCTCCAGATCCAAGTTGAATGAGGTCAATTGGAGCTGTGACCAGATCGCTATGAACGTTTAAATCCGCTGTGCAGAAATCTGACTGCGCACTCTATCTTTCGTTCTAGGCACATTGAAGCCTATTGTGACTATAACAAGTGGTATCAGAGCGCCTTGGAGCAGCTACGACGATGGCTGGACCTGAAGAGAGGGGTGGCAGAGGTGCTGGAGGCAATGGAGAAGCCCAAGCACAAGGCCAAGCCCGTGATTCAGCCGTGGCGCCCGTGCAACCGACTCTTGGACCTTCTAAGGACGAACCAAGAGTGTTCGGGCTCGACAAGTTCAATGGCAAAAACTTTGCAGAGTGGTCCTTCAGAATGGAGAACGTGTTTGACCACTATGACCTGCTGGAGGTGATGGAAGGAACGGAGAAGCGTCCCGAGAACGACCCGGAGAAGAGCTCGTGGGTGCGGAAGAGCGCACAAGGCTATCTCCTACTTGGGCAAGCGTTGGGGAGCACTCAAATCCGTCACATCAAGCCTTTCCAGCGTGAACCAGAGAAGGGACCAAAGGCATGGGCTGCTCTCAAGGGTGTACACGCTCCTGCAACAGCGGCGGTAGCTGTGGTGTTGGAACGGCAAATGGCGACGCTACGAATTGAGGAAGATGAACCCGTGGAAGACGGGGTGCAGAAATTCTTTGACTTGTTGACGCGGCTTGAGGGAGCTGATTTGAACTACAGTGAGCTCCAAAAGAAGACCAAGTTGCTGGCCCTACTCCCCGAATCGTGGTCCTCGCTCATCATCAACTTGAACCGTGATCTGCCCCGTCTCTCGCTTGAAGACGTGAAGCGCGCGATTCTCCAAGAGGACTTCCACCGCCGTGAGTTGGCGAGTGCGGATTGCGGAGATAACTCTAGCAACGGGAGCTTTACTACGGGGAAGGCACGTTCACGGGGAGAATTGGCAAGAGTTCCACTAGGAAAACATCACAACAAAGGTTCAGAATGATAGCAACAACATTGGCATGCAAGGCTACATCAGAGCTAGCACAGCTGCTGGTCGACCTCCAGCGCAGCATGGTCGACCGCGATCCAGCGCAGC